ACACACACACACACACACACACACACACACACACACACACACACACACTTCTTTTGGACAAGCTCAATCATTCTTACCTTGGCAGATTATACAATGGTGCCATTCTAAAGCAGGCTACTACAGCTCTCTTTCTCTGTTTGGAGAGCAATTTGTGCCACACTGCCTTTTTGGACCTCTGAGGATGCTCCACCTAGTATACAAATTACACAATGAAGAATAAACAGTATGTCTTTTATGTCACTGCCTGATTTTTAATAAAACAAATAAACTGGGCGCACTCGGAATGCCAGTAGCATAATTGGGGTAGGAACTGGGGTGCCAGCCCCAGTTACCAAACCAGAGCAGACACAGGATGGAGTCTTTGCTGCTGCTGCTGCAGCATCAGCCTGTCTTCAGAGAGCGTGTGCTGAGAACCTGCCTCAACTGCAGTAGCACTGGTGCAAGCAGGTAAGCATGTGCCACCCCTGTTACCAAAATTTAAAGTTATGCTTCTGGAGAGCTCCACTCTGATAAGATGAGAGATAAACAAGCAATCACAAAAATTGTATTCCCCATAGGATTCAAGTAGTCAGACAAATGTTATGTGAAACTCATGATAAAAACAAATCAAAATGAAAATTAAAATATTTTATCATCAATTTTCTGTATTTCTCCACTTTTTAAACACTACCCAGTTTTCCTTTATTGCTACTCCAGCAATCAGGCTTTTTTGAGCGTATATTGGTGTTCTTAAATAGTCTTGGAATTCAATGAAAAAAATTTCCCTATTTTTATACTTTGGCACATCTCTTTCTATCCTACAGGTGCCACACCAATCTTCTTAATTAGCTCATTTTTAGTTAGTTAAACTAATAAGCTGATACTAATGGTGCACAATGTGCTAGATTCTCTCCCACCTATTAGGCATGGAAGTGGAGGTGGGACAGAATCTAGCCCTAGATTCTACACGTAGGTGCTAAATGGGATCTTATTCCATCCTACTCAAGCCCCTGAAAAGTGTTAACTAAAAAAGTTGGTGGATCCTCCTTTACCTCCTCCTCACTACTTTCTCATGACTCAAGGATGGGATGTTACAAAATGGACACAATATAGATTTTTAGCACTCAAGCAGGGTGAATACAATCACACATAGGCTCCTAAATTTGCAAGTGTGCCTAATAGATGGAATAAAATTTGGCCCAGTGTGGCTGACAGTGCTGAAAAGAAATGAACTAAAACACATGTAAATGATGCTGTCCACCCTCCTTAAGGCTGAAAGTCCAGGATGAAGATAAGTTGACACAAAACAGCCACTTGGGTTTGTGAGTAATAGAAACTAATATATCTTCCTCTGTGGCTTATCAGTTATATTTGCTCTTAAAAATAGTTCATTCTCTTCAAATCTATGTAATCCTCACTCAAGAATCAATCTTTTTTCCATGGACCACCTGTTTCAGACATCAGGGTCATAATGCTTCAGTGTGCCACAGAGTTAGCAGTCTTCTCTCTCACACATTATCAAACTGGACAATGAATGTTAAAATATCACCCTCAAAGAAGATATTTCCTTCATAATTAAACTAGCCATGCTACTTTAAATATATAACAAAGATAATATTTGCAAGGGCTTCGGAGAAAGCAGCCATCAGAGTAACTTAGTCACTTAGTGAAACAGTCAGAAAAAAATCCACAAACACACTCCTAGGAGCTGTGAATACAATTACTTAATTAAACAGTCAAGGAAATTGCAGAGCATTCAGTACAAGGGAGAAGAATTAATCTGTAAAAGGTTAACATCTATAATGTCCGCCAAAAGAATACATAAAAATGAACCCAGATAGTTATGAGGAAAGGTACAAAACAAGCAACTATATATCATTTATGTTAAGAGCAGAAAAACAAAACAAACTCAAAGTGTATTATCAATATGTTAGGCAAATCCAAATGTCAAATTAAAGTAATTAGTAATATCTTTACAAACGGCCATAACATTTTCAATACTTCCCCAAGGGAAAAATCTTCGGACCATCTTAGAAGATATCTGGAAATAGTAAAAATGGAAAGCTTACATGTGTGTAAAAGAAAAAAAACCCTATCTGGTCTTGACTGATGCAATGAAGAAAGCTGTCAAAAAATTGATCAGACATGGAAAAACTCCTTGGGCATATCCATGCATGCAAGCACGTGCGCTTGCAGCAGCTCAAATAGAAGTAGTGCAAATTTGAGCCGGGGCTTTTTGCTTCAGCACACGAGTCTGGACGTGTACTTTGTTGTGAAGCAAATTGTGCCACTTGGGGCAAAATAACCCTGCCTGACTCCTCCCAGATCTGCAGCCAGAGGGAGCTAGAGCTCAGGGCCAGTATCTGTGCTGACCCCAGCAGTATAAAAAACTGCCCTGTCCTGGCCCCATTAATACAAAAATTGCCTTGGCAAGTAGCTCAGGGCTACTCACTCTCAGGGGCTTCTGGGGCCCAGCCAATTGGTACCTGGGGACACTACCCCTTGTGCCAGGTGGACTGCTGAAGCAGCCCTGAGAGTTCCCTGAACTCTCTACCCACTGCAGCAGTCTGGCAGTGGGGGCTGCTGCCTGGCTGTGACCTGCTGCACACCTGCCAGACCCAGATG